ATAAGCTATGAGATCTGATCCTCCAATGACCTGCTGAGTTTACCTGCTCCAAGAAATATGAAGAAACGGTTTTGAATTTCTTGAAATTCTTTAGTTGGTGATTACGATTATTATTTACTCCACATAGATTTCTGTAAGTGGAGTTATTCACCACCATTGATCTAAATTCAGTCATTAATACCTTCGTTGGAGGAATCTCAACGCTTTTCTGAAGCTTGTCATTGTTAGGTATTTCTTTAGTTGACGATGGTGATGCTTTCTTGAGCTCACATTTCTTCCTGACTTCACTTTCTTGACATAATTTTTCACTTTTGGCATTGTTTCATCATCACAGTTTTTACTTGCTTTTATATAAATCCTTGGCTTTTTTCTGACATCAATGTCTTCCTCTTGATTTTCAACTTTGACTTCACCTTGTAACTCTGGTCTTGTATTCTTAAATAACTGCTCCAATTGTTCATTTTATATGGTGAAAGCAATTTATTTTTTCTTTGATTTCAGATTTGTTGTAGAAACAAATTTACTGGCAGAGTTTTTCACACTGGTTTTTAAATCTACATCATCTGAAAATAAGTCTTCTGATTTTGTGTCCATAGGTTCATGCTGAGGTAGATTTTGTTCTTTGTTTTTCCATTGTGAGGTTATAGCAGGTTGTGTTTGCAGATTTGAATGAAGACATTTCTTGGTTTCCTTCATCCCTTTCCGCTTTTGTGGGAAGAGGTTAAAAGTAATGGTATTTGTCTGTTGCTGTTGAGAAGTTTGATCTCTACTTTTATTTACACATGGGAATTTAGTTGATGAAAGCTGATAGTCTTGGATTTTTGTCCTAACTAGAGTATTTGATTTTATGTTATTGCTGGAGCTTGTTTTGGGTGATTCTTTTATATTGGATATTTCTTGTGAAAATGTGCCAAATTTTTGTTCCAGTTTGGAGGTTTTTATTTCTTTTGACTTTTCACATGTATACATCTTCCTGGTCTGACTCTGTGTCAGTTGCATATGTTATAGCATTCATAGGAGCACTTGGCATTAGTTTTGCACTGACTGACAAGCCTCGTAAAAGGCTTGGCCCTGGAGTCATTGTCTTTAATCCTGTGTGAGGCCAGTCCTGAGGATCACAGGAATTTCTGCAGACATGAAAATAACTACCAACTCAATTTCTGCTTCAGGGAATAGGTCTAAGACCCCGCCTTTGGAGTATATCCACAGCTAAGTCAATCCATTTTTTCTGAGAGTCAGGAATTAAGATCTGTGTAATTTGGTATTCTATATCAACAACACACTGAAAAAAGAACTATCATCTTCTTCAGTTTCTTCTGTTATCAACCTAGTTTCCCCACCTCCAAAAACAACAGTTGAATTTAATTTCTTATGTGCTTTGGCACTTAAAAATACAAATATTTTTTTTTTTCCTTTGAAGATTTGTTTTCTTTCTTGTCATACTGGCAGATCAATAGTTTTACTACTAATAGCTGGTTCATCAACAGGTGGATAAAAATTTCAATTTGTGCAGACTGTTGCTTAGACTGAACTTCTGTAACATATTCAGTGAAAATGTTTTGACTTTACAATTGGACATCCAAAAATGAGTGCACACATTACTTTAATGATAACCTTAAAGTGCTACCATAACAAAGTGAGTACATTCTTCTCTCCAGTTGTTTACTGAAAGTTATTCAAGCTGTACTATAGCTTCATTTAAGGCATTTTTCCGAGAGATGCCTAAATAAGAGAAACATGCAACCAAAGACTCATATTCTACTTGATATTTATTTTAAAAGCACTCCAAAGGTAACTCCATCCCGTCTTCAAAGCTCGAGAAAGGCCATTCTTTTATCTCATTAACACAGGTACCATCTTAGAATTATCTTTTATTGTTGAAATAGGAATTTCATCTATTGCAAGTTAATTACAGAAATGTTAGCTGTTAACATAGGCTGGTTTTGACTAGTAGACTGATCACTGTCCATTAAATTGGCGCAGATTTTCCTTCCAACAGCATACTTAATATTACTCAAAAGGCTACATAGTTCTCAAGCTGCACCCACAGCAGGGACTAGTTTCCACCTAGCCTGGCTTCTCAGATTGTGAATACTTTTAAGAAGTTGGTATACAATAAAATGAAGTGGAAAGTAGGCTTGGTGGTACACAGCTGCAGTTCTGGTATTTGGGAGGCTGAGGCAGGAGGATCACTGTGAGTTTGAGACCAAACTGGGCTACAGAATGAGTTTGAGGCCACCCTGAACCACATAGTGAAACTGTGTCTCAAAAAAGACAAAACAAATTGGCAATGTAAGTGATAAAATGAGATCCTAGAGAAGTGAACCAGAGGAAAGAGGGATCCGTATTTGCATTACAAATATGGTCACATGTCTAACTGATTAACATAAACATTTTCTTCACACCCACTCTCTGAGGTCTAGGAACTGAGTTTACTGCCTTACTTAGAAGAGTCAATATGACTTGGTGGCTGGACCATAACTCTATAATCAATTAACCTAAATTTTATTACCAGTTTGAATAGTGCCTCTCTATTGGCTTAATTTGTGTAACATTGAATTACAAAGCCCTTTGTATAGTATTTATTTTATTTAGAATAGTGGAATGTCCACTTTATATGCTTTAATTTAGTGATATGAACAACTGTTTCTGGGAAGATAATATGTAACCTATTAACTGGTGATTTCGTACTGAATATATTTTTTTCTTGAAATACTGTAGTATTTGTACCCTTTTACTGCATTTTTATGTCCTTTCTTTTTCTTTTTTTTTTCTTCTCTCTTTAAATAAAAAAAAAAGAATAGTGGATACATTTTATTATAGGAATTATTCTCTAGATATCATTCTCCTAACTATAGACATTTTTTGAACATTTGCATATTTAATATTAAAGATTTAGAAATTCCATCCCTTTTTGCTCAGAACATGTCTGTGTATATGTTCTGTGTATATCATGCCCTATGTTGCAACTCAGAGATAACTACAACTTGAGTAATACGGCATCTTATAATTGCAGTAAAGGTTGTTGTTTTATTCTACATTGTTAAGGAGCCTAATTAAAGTACCTAAATCTTGTTTTCCAATGCTATCATTGATTTAGACTTTTATGCAATTTATTTGGAGATGTTTAGAATACTGGACTACTCATGTAGAATTAATAATTGAATATTGAACAATAAAACCAGTGGATATTCAGGAACTCTAAATTATAAACTCAGTCCTGGTTCTTTACGGCACTACTCTTGAAAGACCATAATTCCTCCATGAGCTTCATGATCCTCCTTATAAAGTGGGTATGACCTTTCAGATCCTTATCATAAGAAGTCTGGGAGAACATGTTATAAGTCAGTATACGAACGCAAGAAAATGGCCCTTAATCCCAATCATTTAAAAATGTTACTAGATACTCTACAAATATGGATTGCTAAATAATGGGAATCAACAATAGCCTACTGCTGCCTTTGGGCTTAAAGTCACTGGTTATTATCCAAAGGCCCTAAAAAGTGTCAAAGTAAGAGAGATGCTAAAATCAGAGGAATCCTGCCACCCATTTCCTCCTTGTGACACTCTGGACTGGTCAGTGGCCCAAGTGTCATCAATACCACCTGAAGGGATTCATGGGAACCACGTGGCAACTGTGTCTTTAAGCAGAAGCTGTTTCTGCCAGGCAAGAGAGGAGAGTTTGTATTGAGAAGGAAGAATGAAAAAAAGTAAGACTTTTTGAATATTGAACTCCTTTATAGTTTCTCGTCTCCTCTCCTGGACACATTCTTTCTCAAGGACAGCATAAGCAAGTGGGTAGTGGGAAAATCACAATTGGCCATCTGTGATGAAATTTGTGAGTAATTCACGTCCCACTTAAGCCTACCAATGTGGGATCAAATGTTGCCACCCTGCACACTAATGAAGGAAGTCAGACAGCAGCACAGCTTGCCCTTGGGGACTCATTTTTCACATCACCAAAAAGTAATTTCTGTCATTTTCTGCCATCTGGTAGCCTGGATTGTGATGATGAAATTTCATTTGGGAAGTGTTTAAGAGCACGAGTCCTGGAGGCAGCTCAATCGGAATTCTTTTTCTGCTTCTCACCTGGCTCCATGTATATCAGTAAATAAAACCCTCCTAGGATATCATGTCTTCAGTATGAGAAGCTGAGACGATATGTAAAGTACCTTACTCAAAACCTTAGGAATGGTAAAAGTTTCAATGAAATTAGCTATTATTAAAGTGTTAGAAGTACTGCTGATGGTAGTATTAAAAATAATACTGGTACAGTGTTTTTCCAGTATCTACTTGTCTTAACATAGGCCTTATTAATTCACTGTTTACATTCTAAAGTAGGTCAACCAGCCTGTTACAAAGACCCCATTTAGAGGCTTTCCTTTGTAGTAACCAACCCAGGGCTTCCACATGTAGCCAAATAGTACTTAATATTACTAACAATGTTGCAATCTATACAAAGTAACACTTTTTCTTTCTCTGGCATTTGCACATTTGCAGGGAGGTTGGATGCTTCTCTCTCTCTCTCTCTCTCTCTCTGTCTCTCTCTCTCTCTGTGTCTCTGTCTCTCTCTGTCTCTGTCTCTCTCTCTCTGTCTCTCTCTTTCTCTCTGTAAATATATATATATATATATATATAATTTAAATAATGATAAGAAAGTTATTCTTAATTTGTATTGAAGTATGTGCCTTCTTATTTTTAGATAAAGTTTTCTATCATATGAAAAGAGCTAAGATATTTTCATTATATGAGTCAATCAATGTCCTTGTTACAGCAATCAGGGAACCATGTTGGGAGGGAGTCGCATCTTCTAGTAGTGCTTGAGAAGCTCCTTAGACACTTGCAACAGTTGACAAGTTTAGTTCTTATACCTCAATATTTACCACCAAATTTCAAATTAGGTAACAAAAGCTCACATTTGCCACTTGTAGTCACAGGACCGGCGCTGCAAGCCTGCCTTTACTGACCTGATTATACATTCAATTTGCTTTACTTTACAGTTCCACCAAAGATCTCCAACATCTCCTCGGATGTCACTGTGAATGAGGGCAGCAATGTGACCCTGGTCTGCATGGCCAATGGCCGTCCTGAACCTGTTATTACCTGGAGACACCTTACACCAACTGGTAAGCAACCCTCCAATTTCCAAGATGCCTCATACTAGTTAGAATTCCATGAAATTAGGAGGACAAGAATGTATCTTAGTAAAATACTATGAAATTTCCAAAAAGGTTCTTATTTATGGTCCCCGTGAACATTGATAGTATGTTTGTCTCTATGAAATTTACAGCCGCAGTGTTGAATGTGTGCATGTGTATATGTGTGCATATATATGTATGTACACATATATAATATTTCACTTTCAGTAGAGTAGTTTCAAGACAAAAATTGCAAGTTTGGTGGTTGTGTCTTTGGGAAATTTTTTGTATGAATTAAATTTACATAGCTTTTGTAAACTTGTTTTATTTTACTTTCTACTAGTTAGTTTCCTAATATGTAATATCTCAAAAAGAAAATAGAAATGGTACAAAATTATTTATTGTGTTTTCTAATGCCCTGTCCTTGGTATCTGGTCTTATATTTAAGCATAAATTCTTATTAAAGGCATCTATTTTTTGTATGAAAATGTTACTCACAGTGCATCTTTATTAATATTGTAACTTATCATTTATTAATTATGCATATGAGGAATACATGAAGTATTTATTTGGGGGATCAATTTCAGGCTTATCGTCCCACAGACTCATTTCATACTCCACATGGAGAAACACATAAAGAGAACTTTCTGAAGTGAGCCTACCTTGTATCGCACTCCTGAAATAAACATTCAGGGCCCATTCTATGTGGGCAGCATATTACACCAGGCCCACCTTACCTACCCCTATCACAACTTGAAAATGCTTTTGCCTACTGGCAACTTGGAATAAAACCTGTTAGCTTCTATGTAAACACATTGTCAAACATAATTTCTAAGTACATTTTGTTTACTTCAATATTTATAGAGCCAATATTTCAAGGTGCCTTTGGAAGAAATTCCTTTTTCTTTTCAATATCTCTAATGTTTTGTTTCTAAGCAATGCTTAATGTTTTATAATTTGTTTCAGTGCATTTTTAAAAATGTTCACAAGTCCTTCACTGTAATTAACTATTAGCAAACATAAAGGTAAATGTATGACGCATCTGTAAAAAAAGTTGTTATTTTATAAATCATACATTAATATAATTGACTGTAAACAAACTACATAGGAGTTTATGTCACCAAATTTATATACATACCACAGCCCTTTTTCAGCTTGTTTTTCTTATCATGTTTATTGTCTTATATTTCATAATGAATTAAAATTTTTCTGCATATATTTATTTATAATCCAGTGTCAGGTGTCAGCAACTGATAGACCATGGGTCAGATGTAGTCTGTTCTCTTTGTGCACAACATGAAAACTAGAATTGTTTTTACATTGCTTACCAGTTATGAAAAAAAATAATTCTACCTTCTGACCTACAAAAAAGGATGAAATTCAATATTCAGTGCACAAACATAACATTTCCTTGAAATATAGCCATGATCATTTGTTTGTACATTGTCTATTGATAAATTTGTTCTAAAACAACAGAGTTTTGTGGACTGACCCCCAAAGCTGAAAATATATTCTGTGTACTCCTTTAGAGAAACATTTACTTGCTTTTGCCCCAGACATGATTTAGGATACAGGGCAAGGATTTGCTTATCCAAGGCCCCATAGAAATTTAGAGATAGCCTCCATCAAGTTGTTGTGATCATTTCAAAAAAGTTTTTTTTTTTCTCTTAATATGTGTTTACAGTGTCTAAAAAATGCATCCATTGTAGGGAATTTGTATCTCTACTATCCCACCAGCACCCTTATAAGTTCCCTTTCCCTGTTCTCCCCCTCAACTCATTTATCCCCAAGTCCCCTTCCAGTCACCACAGAGCTGATCTCCTTGTTTCCTATTTTGTCTTATTTTGATGTTTAAATTTTGATAGCTGTACTTTGGGTTTCTCACTTTTTAAAATCCATGTGGTATTTAACCTGTGTTTGATTTATTTCACTTAGCAGTATGGTCTCAAGCTATATTTATTTTCGTACAAATGACTAAAAGTTACCCCTGTTTATGATTGAGTAGTACTCTATCACATATGAATACTACATTTTCTTTATCCATTCATCCACTGAACTATATTCAGTTCTTGCCAAGGTTTAGGTATTGTAAGTTGTGCTGATATAAATATGAGTATACATGTGTCTCTATAATATGATGTCTTTAACTTTTTCTGGAAGATATTCAGCAGAGGCATAGTTGGGATTAAATGGAATTTCTGCTTTTAGCTTTTTAAGAAGCCTCCATACTGATTTCCACAATGGTTTTATTGGTTTACATTCTTGTCAACAATACAGAAGTATTCCTTTTTCCACAATCTTGCCAAAGTTTGTTGTTTTTGAACTCCTCGATGATAGCCATTTATCTGAAATAAAGTAGAATTTCAGTGTTATTTTGATATGCATTTCTTTAACAATAAAAGATGTTAAACTTTTTTATGTATTTATTTGTACTTCTTCTAGGAAATATCTATTTCAACTGGCTGTTTTTATTGTGCCTTTTATTTGCAGTACCTACTTTTTTTTTTTAGTCTTTATGTATTCCAAATATTATTCCTCTGTCCAAAGACTACCTAGAAAAAGAAATGTTTCCCTTTTTAGGTTGTAACTTTACCCTGTAGTTTGCTTTCTTTTCTGTTCAGAAGATGTTGCATTTGATAGAATCACATTTGTTGATTTATGATATTTCGTGTACAATTGCAGTTCTGTTCAGAAGTCCTTGCCAATACCTATAACTTATAAATTTTACATATTTTATGGTAAATTTCTTTTTAAAATTTGATTAATTTTAATGGTACAATTTAGATACACATAAGGATCATATTCATCATAGGGAATTTGTACCTGCATATAATATATTTTGATTACTCTTCTTTTCCTAATCCTCCCCCCTCTCTTTAATCCCCCTTCCCCTCCCTATGTTTCTGTTTTCATACCAGATCTTTGATTTATTTTATTTTATTTTATTTTATTTTATTTTAGTACAAAGTGAGACATATGGGCACAGATTCATTGTTTTCTATGTTCATAACCATTTTTCCCAACATCATGTGTTAAAGAGGCTACCTTTTCTTCAGGATATGTTTTAGGACTCTGTTGAAGATCAGATAGCTAAAGATGCCCAGGGCTGTTTCTGCATTTTCTGTTTTTTCCCATTGATCAACATGTTTGTTTTTGTATCATTTTTGGAAATATGGCTATTTTGACAATATTGGTTGCACCTCTTCAGGAATGAGTAATCCCCTTAGATCTCTTTTCAGAATATAGTACTTAGTGCTTGTTATAGAAGTCTGTAACTTTGGTTAGATTAGTTCATAGTTCTAAAAGATCATGTTATCTGTGAAAAATGGGTAGTTTGACTTTTACCTTTCCTTTACATACCTTACTGTTTTCTTTCTCTTGCTGACTTTCTCTACCTACAATCTGAGTACTACATTGAATAGGATAAAGCATTAACTTTACTTTATAACCATCATCTATCTAAGCCCTCTCTATGTGCCAAATTATTTGGGGACACACGTGCAACCAGCACCTTGATGCATTTATAGATCAAAGATGGACTCCTGTTCTCCCTCACAAGTATTAATTCCCTAACTTTCTTTTATCTCTTTCACATCTGGCCTAAATAACCAGACACCTGATCAAAATAATATTCCTAGTAACAAGAGAGAGCATTTGCTTTTACAAGTCTATAAAGGAAACTAGGATTTCGTGTGTGTTTTATCCCTTTCAAAATTTGGAAACAGTGTGAACCTTTTCAGCCTATTAAACAAAGCCTTTCTTGGAGACACCCAAAGAAGAGACCTGCTGCTCCGTGTGTGACAGCAAAGCTGCTTGCAACCTGTGGCCATGTGAGAAAAATAATACAGCCAGCTTTGTTCCATTATTTATTGTGCTTCTGCAGTACTGTGGAAGTATTGTGCCCTCCACAGGAAATGTACCTGTAATTAGCTCAACCCCACAGGGACATCAAGTCTTGAAAGGGGAAAGATTCCGTGCAGGGCTCCAAAATGTCTGATTGTCTATCATGTGAAGAAGAAGAAAAGGAAGAGAGATTCATGATGTATTTTTATAAGGAGAATATATTATCTCCTAATGCAGTGCTTCTTTCTTTTAATTTTTAGTTGTGCTATTGTGTTTCTTTTTCCATCGACACTTAAAAGTTTTTTTTTTTTTTTTGCCAAATATACTGAAGATGCTTTAAAAGAAAGAAATTTCAAAAATATGAATTTTTCATGTATTCTGAATCAAAACACTTCTCTGACTTTGATGGAGAAGAGATTAAGGCATTCTGTGTATGTCTTTCATATATTTCTAATTTCCTAATCTCTCCTTCTCTTCAGTTACTTTATGTAGTCAAAATGATGTGTCACACATGTAGTTATTAAATGTGACCTATTTTCTCCCTTAATTAAGTTAGGCTTTCAAATTCCTGGGACACCCAGAGGGCAATTGCACTGTAACATGTCTTTTCTGTGGAGTGTTTGATCTTCTTTCTGTGAGTGGTGCTGCTCCATCTTCATTTAACTTCATTTCTAAATCTTTCTTCTTACATTCACGGGAAAAGTCTTTTCTCAAGTTTGCTTCATGGGGTGTCACAATGGCTCAGGGTTACAGAAAGTGTCTCTATGCATTTTTGTTTCTACAGAGGTTTCACAACCTCACCAACCTCTGATACCTGGAAAACCCAAAAGGCACCTCAGGCTCAGGAGGTACTGTGTAATTCTTTGTACAGCCAAAATTCATATCCACCATCAACACTGAAATTAGAAATCTTACTTAAGAAACATCATGTATGTTGATGGGGGAGTTGGAAAGCATTGTTTTGGGCGAAGCCAAGAGGACCTCGAGGACTCTCAAATTCTGCTTTCTCATTGTACATTGGGTTTTAATCTCTTGATTTGAGATTTCCCTTTTAACTCATTTCTGACTCTGAGCTTTTTACCGATGCTACTCTTGAATTACATTAACGCTATACCTTCCTGCATCTTATTTTTAACTATACAGCT